GGGCTTTTTTTAAATTCAAAACAAAGGCAGAGTTTATCAAAAATACCTAAACCCTGAAACACAAACTGCAAAAGCGATATGTACAGAACAAATTGAGAGCACAGATACTTCTACTTTTTGCCTCAAGACACATACTACAAATGCAGTACAGATAAACTTTCTATTTTAAAACTTAGTATGTTCTTTTTGCTCCAAACAGAAACAATCCTTATCTTTCCTTATTCAGTAATTAACCCTGTCTTAACTTTGCAGGAGTTGTACTGTAAATGAACAATAAGAATGTCTTGTCTTTAGTGTTAAATGGCACTGGAAGAGAAAGAACAGCAAACATCTCCCAGCTAGTGCAGACATTCTGACTTCCAGATTACAGTACATTGCTTTGCTTCCTCCAAATCCTGTTTACATGAGCAAGGTCAGGGGATGAAACATTAGAGAGCCTCTACAGTGATTTCCTGCTTCTGTCAGTAAAAACTACAGAGACACCATCAACTTTCCCTTGTTTCCAACAGCTTTTCAGGGACTGGAGGTTACCAGAGTAGTGCCTTCCAGAATTGAAAAGATTCAACCTCTCTCATGACTAAAACTAAAATTGAAGGATGAAACAGAAAGAAGTAGTCCCAAAGAGAAACAAAAAACTTCCAATTTTTCCTTTTCAATAGTTCAGAAAACAAAGGCAATGTTAAGTTGCTTGACACTGGGTGAGTGGGAGAGAGGCATTAATGCTTTCAGAGTCTTCAATGAAATAGAAAGGAGAAAGAAGCACCACCCCCAGCCCCCATATTTGACCCCAATTTAGTGAATATTTTCAGAGTTCAAAAGGCTAGAACACACCTAATTTCTGGTAACTGCAACATATGAGGACTCTTATCATTGAAAAAGTCAGGACATTACAGAAGTACCAGTTTGTTAGGCATTCACAGCTAATTTTTACAGTGCTTTCAATAATACACATGAGAACTGAATAAATGAATCATCAAATCCAAAGCTATTTCCTAACCATAATAATACACAGGAATTCTTTGGCTTTGTAACTGTAGTCCAAAAGAAAGGAACTCCATACTGAAGATTTCACTGAAATTTTTCCACTGACACAAGGATCATACTCCCTTCACTGAGTTTACAAAAAAAGTTGCATCAGTACAAACTTCAGAAGAAAAAAGATTTTTTCATTCACCATGTTCAAAACAACTGGCTTTAATACTAAGCTAGAAAAGAAGCTGAAAAGATAAGGTGTTTACAATTCAGGCAGTTTAATAATGTAAGTGTTTTTAGTAAAAACCCTGTAAGAACATTCATATTTGCCTATCTTAGCTTAACCTCTGAAGCAAGAAAATAGAACTAAATTAAAAAGCAACAAAGCACAAAAGCAGGCATTTTAAGTGTGGAAGCTGTGATGGATTGTTGCTTTTGATGAAGCAAGAAATTAAAATTCCTTGAAAAGAGGAGAAGTAGGAGGAAGAGATAATATAGTATTTTCTTAGACAGCTACAGCTCAAAATAAATTAACTGCTAAGAAAATATCTAAGTATTTATTTTAAATTCACAATAAAGAATCAAGAGTGTTATATTTTTAAATATTTGTTTTTGAAATCTTCTCTAGGCAGACTGTTGTCAAGAATAGATGATGGTGATACTTTGTTGCATCCTAATTCTCTAGAATAGTGTGTCCTCTTTTGGGCTTCTTGGTCCCAGATACACTGACATCCTGAAGCAAATCAAGTTGAGAGTGAACAAGATAACCAAGGGGCTGGAACATGATATCGAGGAAAGGCAGAGAACCAGGTTTGCTCTCTGGAAGAAAAGGTACAGGGAGATCTTGCTGCATCTCAGATATCTAACGGGTAGATAGAAAGAAGACAGACACACACGTATTAGAGGACCACGGTGAATTCAAGGCAATAAATATGTTGGAACATAGGATATTCTAGTAACATATTATTAAAAAAAAATTTCATCAACCAAACATTAGAGCAAGCTGCCCAGAAAGGTGGTAGAATCCCTATCCTTACACATTATGAACAAATGAAATGGACAATGTTTATAAAACCTTGATCCAAGCTGGCCTTGCTTTAAGGGGAAGGTTAGATGAAATTACTCCAGACATCCCTCTCAAGTGATACTCTATCACTTTCATTAACAAATCTTCAAAGAAGGAAGGAAAAGGAAAAATCCTTTTGCTTTGTCACAAATCATCTTAGGGGCAGTAATAATGCATTTCCCATAAGGGAGTAGAAGAATGGACAATTCAAGTTGATGAAAAGATTCTCAATAAGAAGAGCACTTTCTTCTACTGTCCTTTCTCCTGGACTAGACTGAGACCTACAGAAGTTTTTGACCACTTACTGTCAGGAATTTTGGTAGTTATTCAACAAAACATTACAAGGTTCCTGAAAGGGTTTCACGGAGCTTTAAGAAACTCACCAGAAATCCTGCAGAAGTTTCAGTGTTGTTACTCATCCCAGACAAAGGCTGTATTTAAAGACTCGCATTTTTGTGGATCGCTATCTCAAGCATCTCTCTCCTTCAGCAGAAAAATTGAAGAAAATATGTTAATTAACTACTTCCAGTGGTCTAGGAACTTGCCAATATGTTTTGTAAATAACCCTTAAGATCCTGCTGTGTTACATGAGTGATAAATGCATTGAACAAGAATGCATAAAGATACCTAAATGCAGACTGCATTTTTCTCTCTGCACATGCCAGAAGGGCAGAAGAACTCCTTAAGGCAGAGCCTTTAAAAGAATAAGTAGGTATAGATAGGACATGCATAAATTAACCCTGCAATCTGATCAAAGATTTTTGTTATTTAAACAGCATTCTTTCAGTAGAAGCAGCACCAAAAAGCCATAAACAGATTTAAAATGGGTCTCGAAATATTTGCAGGGGAAAAAATTGCACAGTTATAATGTCTTTGACAAGCAGTAGAAAAAGAGCAACCCACTGGGGCTGGAATCAGGGATATGTATGAGATAGGATGATGAATTAGACCAGGACTAGAGGATGGCGATCTCAACTTGAAAAAGGACTAAGGAAAAAAATACAAATAATACACAAAAGTAGTATCATTCAATTCAGGACAAACTGTATGAAAAGAAATCTGTCAGTGAAGGTGTGATAGAAATAAAGGCAGTGTCTGCTCTTTTCTCCTTGTTTCTTAAGAACACATCAAGCCTCTATTAGACAGTCTCCATTCATTAGGGAAACTGAGAAAGTTTCAGATAAAAGGTCCAAGTCACTGAGATCCAGAACCCTCTAGAAACAAGACACAAAGAGTCTAGGTGGCTGGCCTGATTAAGAAACAGATGATAATTCCACAAATGACAGAAGCTGGTAATGTGGCAGACAGACAATGGACAGGAAGATGATACTAAAGGATAAGCTGACATTAGAAAGCAGGGAGGACCAGATTGGTTAGCAAAGTTGAAGAATGTTATTGACTGTGGCAGAGGAAGGGTATTAGCGGCAAAGAAAACATGCAAATGATTCCTGAATTTGTGTGAACAGTGGCAGGGTTAGGGTTAACCTGTGTTGAAAAGGACAGTTGCCCTTAATGCTACAATCTGAGTAACAAGGTTATAGAAATGTTTCTAGATGGAAAAAGAGGCAGATGGGGAATGCTGAAATACAACAGTGGCGAGAACCAATGATAATTGGTAGATTGAGATGCTGGGAGAAAAAAAAATTGTGATTACTGACACAGCCAAAAATCATAAATTCTGAACCAGCATTTTTATATTGAAGATTGTAAAGCCAGAAAGACAGCAGTCAGAAAAATGCTGTTCTTCTTGGGTCAATGTACTCCTTTGAGTTCTGGGCATAAAGTTTTATAAGGTGCTTTCACAGGAAAAGAATTAAGGGAGACTAAGTGATTTTTAGGTATGGAATAAAGAATTACAGTGCAACCACACATTTGAACTCTGTGATGAGCAGAGTAAGTAATGAACACACGGTACTTAAAAGTGATAGGTAGTCAATAAATTATATCCACCACAATGCACTGTCTGTGAAGCCTACTAAACAGATGCCTGTAAGTCTACAAAGATGTATATTTCCATTATGAAAACATGACAACTGATAAACCTTAAAATACATATCACCTCTCAAATATAAGTTCTTATATGATTATTTGTTTTGAAGTAAAGGTTTCTCATCAACCTGTGCATCATGATCTTCAAAAATGATCTTAAAGAATTTTACATAGTACCTTCACAACATAGCTTTCATAAAGCATTCAGGACAAAATAGAACAGCAGAAACCACACCTGCTGCCTTTTCATAAGTATTAACCCTTCAACCACACAAACTTTTTATGGTAATTAAAATTGCTCAAGACACAATTTTGTATGCACAGGAACAGATTCAGAGCTAAAAGAAAAATTCTCATTTTAACCTAATTCTAGAACAGCATGTCTTTTAGATTTCATACCAGGAGAGCATATTTCTCCTCCCACGAAACTGCCGCTAAAACATTGCCTTCCTCTCCTCCCACACGCCATACCAATGTCATATGTAAAGCTAACACTAGAAGACTCTAATCCCATCATTCTGTCTTAAAATGTATTACCTTTTTCTTTCCTTCTAGGGAACTATTAAATGCCTTAAAAGGAGAAATAATAAAACATCAGTTTTAGAATTGTATTGGTGAGACAATGATTCTTTAGTGCTATCATTATTTGAAGATAACAAAAAGTGTTGGAGAATAAGCCACGAATTTTAACAGGAATATTTAGACGTACTTAGCATGGGCTTATAAATAGAATTTGTGCTTAGTATACTGGTAAAACTGTAGGTATAAAATGAAAGCTTTGCTATTACACCATCTTCTGGTTAGACTTGGGAACTGTGACAAAGTTTAAATTGAGAATTTAGGATATTGAGCTCTGAGCACTCGACAATTGCTGAAAAATTAATTTCATTCATATGGACAGTAAAAGCACATTTCCAGAACATGTTAGCTATACCTTACCCTCTTCTTTTTTTTTTTTTTTAAAGTAACTTACAGGAGTACTCATATATGAAGATGTTCTAATATCGAAGATAACTGGGTCGGGTGTTTGCATATCAGGCACATCAAAGGTAGGGTCAACCTGTTGAAAATAAATTATATCATTATTTCAGCACCAACAGAGAAAAGGAAATAAGACTGAAATAAAAAGTGAGAGCACACTTAGCAGCCTAGATCAATTAGTTCCCAATCCCTATTCAAGTTCCTTAAGTCATCCATTACTAACAGACTGTTGATACGCTTACTTCTGTACCAACTCTGATTGCCAAAATAACTTCGAAAGCACTTCTGTGGAAAACAGGTAGTAGGTAACACTGAAATCTGTGATAAGGTAACAGATCAAAGACAAAAGATCTTGCTCCTGAAACCACAGGAAAAAGTGCTTTTTACTGGGACAAATTCAGAGGCTGATTGATCAGAAAGAATGATAGATGACAGAAACGTCATTACAGTATCTGCAATTTTGCTCTTAATATCAGTTACTACTTGCTTATTTTTGGCCACAGGAGTTAATCTATAACTTTAGCAATATTTTGCTAATGTCTTCTCCTGAAAGTGAAGCATTAGGAAAGTACGAGAGAATATGAAATTTGAGAAAGCTGCTTTTATCTTATGGTTTCACCTAAGAAATCACAATAACATCCCTATAAAAAATCTGTGTGCATATTATCCCTACCACTATATTACCTAGGTGTATCACAGCTTCTCAGAATGATGCATGGAAGTACTATTCTTAATATTTTATGAACTGGCAAAGTTTACAGAAAGACTAGATGACTTTCAAATCACCAAGAAGCCTGATGTAATATCAGCAGTAATCCAGACACAGTATTTATCCCAACCACCTTATTGAAAGCAGAAAAAAAATCCCAGAACCCCCAAAGCTCACACTTGCCTAGTGACAGGATTAAGTTTGGTCACTGAAAGTTTCTTAGCTACAATGGTCATTTTACTTTGACTTCTCAAGAGAAAGATCCTACTATTTCACCTGAAGACTGCCAAAACTCTGGCTCAGTCAGAGCTGCTCTCTCAGTAACTGCTTCAGTGCTATTTCCAAAAGGAAAAATCCCTGATGTCCATACATTGGTATAAAGACCTTTAGGTCAGACACATGTTTGTTAAGTATCTAGAATTCAATCTCATATCTGGAATTAATAGTCAGGGAAGGAGGGCAGCAACACCTTCTACTGCCTGAAGACTTTTCATTCACTTTATTTAGATTTACATAACTTAAATGCAGAAATTTAGGTTAAAATTAACAGAAGTAAGATCTCCCTCAGTAAATACAAGTTGAAGAAGGTGGACAAAGTTTACTAGCAAGCTAGAAGGCAAAGAAACATTTAAAAACAGATATTACTTGATTATTCAAAGTGAAAATGATTCTTACACTTTGCAGCACTTACAAATCAGAGATGACAGACCCTTCTTAAGGTGAGATCTTAACACTGTTTTTAAGCTTGTTCACTTCTCTGAGTAGCAGTGCTTAGTTCTTTCTTTTATTCAGTTTCAATAAGCCATTCTTCATCTGTGATCTTTTTTTCTGTCTTCTGATTACAGGTGCATCAGTCAAGAATGAGCAGGGACTCAGGGACAATCAAGAAAACCCATGCAGCTACATGGTCATCACAGCTGAACACTTAAAATTCTCTCTCATTTGTAGATATTAGGATCGAGCCTTGTTTTCTTTCAATTTTGCAAAACAGAATTGGAGGAAAGAAAGGGAAAGAGGAGAACCAAAGCCAGGTAACATATTCTATGTAAAAACCTCTATTTAGCTGAAAATTCTACCATTTTAACTGGGCTTCTCCTTTAGAATCTTCTCTACAGAAACATGATTAATCAAAACCTCCTCTGCATCCAGTATTGCTTACCACTTTTTCAGTGTTAAGGTGAGCAGGAGAGGAAGTGCAAATTTTACTGTTTTGCCTCTGTAAATATCATAGCTATTGAGATTACACAGCCAACTGTCCACAGAGTTTCCATTTGTTCAATGCCCAGGATAATCAGGGTCAGTTGCTTCTGACATTGTCAGCCCTACAATAAATATAATTACTTATATTGGCAATATCCAAGTGCCAATCATACTAGGGACAGGTAAGACAAAAGTCATTTTCTGACATGCATCATTTGGGCACTGAAGAGAGGACAATGCATCTGCAGGATGCTGCAGAGGGGGGACAGTAGATGCCTACTACCTATCAGTACTCTAATGTGGAGAAACTACTACAGTATCAGCACTAATAGCTCTTGAAACATGTTCTTTGAGATAGTATCTCTTTGTTGCATACATGGAGATATTGCAGAATGAGTTAAATTCTTGATACTGGTTGGTAAATAAATACATGGTATTATTAAGTTTTAAAAAATGCTCTTTTTGTGGAAGCGTCACATCCTGAAGCAAGAATCAAAGTTCCTCTGATTATGCCTCTGCTTATTGTTTTACCAGTGATAAGGGGAGGATGAAGACCACTGTAAACACTGACTAGAGGGGGAAGAACTGACATAAGCCATACTAAAACAATTAATATAAAATTATTAAGCAACTAGTCAGAAATAGCATCTAAAAGGTGTTTAAAAATGCACAAAAATATAAAGGCTGTATCTAAGTCCTTCATACAAATATTAGTGTTTAATATTGCACTAAAACTGAATGAGGCAATGGAATGAAGCTAAAAGTGAAAGTTTCAAATTACTTGATATTTCCTGACAAGGTGATGTGGTTAGCTGTAAAATAACTTTACCAAGGGAAATCTTCAAGGTAAGTCTTTTTTTAAAGACATAACTTTAAGAAACAAGACAGAAAAACCAGAGCACTAAAATGCAAGGTAGGGAGTACTGTCACATATTACAGGTTTTCAAAAACACTCTTTTCAAAGCCTTGTTTTAATTACCTGGTAAACTGATACATACATATTTTCAATATCATCTTCTAACATGATAATGCAGTTACCAATTTTGATCCATAATACAATAAAATATATTGGAAGGGAAGGTTTCTACAGAATCTCTCATGAATTAGAAAAATTCAAAGAGGAAGTTTTAAATTAGTCACAAAGTATTTCTTAGGAAAGTGATTAGTGAAATAGTCTCTCCAAACACATTAAGAGAAAATTAGGTTTCAATTTGACTAAACACTGTTCTTGGTTCTTGACTGGGGCCCTCAAGCAAGCCATATAATCTTTTTTCTACTGCCATCTAGTGTACATTTGAATTTCCTTCATCTGAGAAAATATTTACAACTGAAAATACGCTGCAAATTTTAAGATTAAATTAAAAAAATAAAAGCTCTTTGTGCACAAGAGATAAACTCTATGCACCTTAATGTGATCAAACGTCAAAGCTGTTTTGAAAGAAATTAATTTAAAGAAGTCTTTAGCACATGAAAGGTCAATTACATACAATCATGGCAAATTCAGAAATACAATTCTCACCAAGTGGAATGTAGTTTTTAGTATACTTCACTAAAATTGCATAACTGATTAAACTACTATTTTCAAAAAACTCCACAAGGTCCTTGTGTTAAACAGAGACAACAACTGGGATTTATCTCAGCTAAATTTAGACATACTGCTAGACACCTTTATTTGAGCTGGTAATCACCTAAGATTATCTCTGTGACCAACAGAAAAAAATAGGCGCCTTTAAAGAACAAATAATTTATTTAAAATTCCAAGTTGTCTGAAAAACGGAAATTATCATAAGCATTACAACTCTACTTACTTGAATATTCAAGAATCACATTGATAAGTGCAGTTGGGAAACAATTATAAAGTTTTACAACTCAAGAACATGAAATTCAACACTGCTTTAAAATTCAGGCTACTGCTGGGCTGAGAAGACACAACTAATGATTTTTTTGTAAAAGTTAATTATATCTCAGAAATAGGTAGGTAGAGAGAAAATAAAAAAGGGAAGGTATCTGAAATTTTACTGGTTCAATGTTTAGCCTTGAAGACCGAATAAGAAAAAGTAATCAGAAAAGACAAAATATACTCAAGCTTCATCTTTTTGTTACTATCCTGAAGGCAAAACACCAGATTATACCTGCAATTCCTAATGCCCTTGTGCCAGCTGCTTTATTCAAAACAGCATTTCCAACAGGTGATGTGTGAATACATTGCAACTGTACCTCTGATCCCAGCTGAATCTAAGCCAGCTCCGTTTTTGTGTATACTATTCCCCCAGAATATAGCTCTGGAATTACAGGGACTTTGTCACACTGAGACAAGCAGGGATAGAGAAGCAATCACTAACCAAAAGCAGTAGAAAAAATTAGGAATTTTTAAAAATAGGGGGCAAATTACTATCCTCTTGAGTTCTGCCTGCATATCTGTTTAACTTTTTGTGTTCTAATACCTTTAATTTCATCCTAAGGCAATCCCTCTTCAGTCCTGTTGTAGAGGTGACTAAACCAGCTGAGCATAACTCAAGGCAATGTATTACACCACATCTCAAGCATTTAGATGACATTGTAGTGTCTTGTAGCAAACCTTAAGCAGTCATTGATACTTTGAAAAATCCCATCTCCAAACTGCCTCCTCTGTCTGCCTGTAACTCTTGTTCATGTTACCAGGTCTCTTACTTGTTACTTCTGTTTAGTTTAGATGAATTATCTTACTCTGTTCACATAGAAATATGACGAGAAAGGAAGAAAATAATGAAGAAAGGAAGAAAGAAAGCAGTTCTGCATATGATCTGAGGTGTAGATGAGATAATAGGAAAAAAATTATCATTACAACTGCTATGCTCTAGTGGAATAGATCACACAGAGATATAGGGGAATCTCCAAACCTCTTCAAGACCCCCTAATCAGACACAGCTGAACTGATGTCCCACTGGTAGGAAGAACAGATCGTCTCCACAAGCTCCCTCTGCCATGCCTGTGATTCCATTCCTCCTTTTCCTTATATATTAGAAACATGATGAGCCATTGAAAGATGAGGGTAAGATTGCAGTGCAACAGCCTAATGCTAGAATTCTCTGTATTGCCTCTGGCTTAGAAAGAGGTTGGCATGTAAAAAAAATATTTTAACTGAAGAAGGACAAAAATACTTTGTTGTCCTTTTCTTCTTTGTACTTTTTTTTCTTTTTCTTTTTTTTTCCAGATTACAGTGCAGTGGGACTAGAAATTTTGCTTTTTCTCAGTTAGAAGAGGAAATAGTTAAGAAGATGGAGCACTAAAAATTTCAAGCACCGTGCTACCTAAGAATTAGTGCATGCTAATGAAAGCATGTTACTGCTGGTAGTAACCTGATACCACTTTTGTCTATAAATCATGGCTTTGTCCAGTTGGTGAGGTCTATTCTTCCTGACCACAATTTTTGTTGAGACAGATAGGAGGAGCCATAAAAACAAGAAAAGACAAATGGAGTGAGAAAATGTGATAATTTCACCTTAACACCATCTCAATTATTACACCATTACATTAATTCTAAAAATTAGCTGCAAAAGCGATTCTAATCACTATCACTTTATTATTTAATTTAAAATGTGAAAATATATTGTATAACAATAATGAGTTTTGTTGAAACTGCCAGACACTGTTTTGTCTCAAAGAATATAACACACTTGATATCTACCTGAGAGAAAGATATTCTAGTGACAATATAATGTTAATAGAAAACTAAATAGAGTGACTCTCATTAAAATCCTGAAATCAGGCCAGAAAATATAACACAGAGTCAAAAACTTTGCTATGACAAAGCCATAGAGCTCTTTCACTACTATGGAGCAACCCAGGAGCCTATCAGCTGCTACAAATGCTGCAGCCATTAATAAATGCATATAAAGCTAAGTTAACTCTGTCAAAGCTAACTAATAAATAATTTCTTGACATTCAGCTACTGAATTTCCTTGATGAGCCTTTTCAGTATTGATAATGAGGCCTCCTAGCCTTCGTTTAACTTTAGCCTGAACTCATTAATGCTTTTCCAGAGCTTCTCAATTACCCAGGACAAGAAAAAAAAAATTGAAAAATTCATTTAGAGTATATTCACATCTTTACCAGGAATGTAAACAGCAGAGAGGTCTGGAAATGTTGACCTGAAAAGAAGACAATGGACCCCCGCCGCTATAAGCCATGTTTGTTTAGTACATGTTATAACTGAGTGCAATTTGAATGGTCTTGTAGCAAAACGTTGCTTCAGCAAGACTGGCTTGAATCTGCTGGCAAGTGCTTAGATTGAGTTTGTTCTGGCACTGAGCAGCTATACTGAAGGCTGGTACCAGTAAACTGAATGAACTTAATTCATTTACCTTACAACAAATATGAAAGTCCAGCACGGAAGTTTGTTTATGAAGTTTGTTCATTAATGAAGCTTTTGGTCAGAACAGGATGCAGTCATCCTGTTCTGACCAAAATGCTAAGCATTAGAAAGTTACACATCCAATTTGGCAATAAAACCAGGCACAGAAGAAATCTTATTTTGTCAGAGTTCTCTTCCTCCAGCAAATGTTCTCAATCTTTATACCACTCATTTGCATGTATTCATACTGCAAACACAGCCATCCACCCAAAAAAAAAAAGCTCAGTATTCCCAAATGTCTGTTTTAAAACTCGGAGCAGGAAACAAAATCCATGGCAGCAGTATCTACATTTTCTATGTAGGCAACCAGGCAATGGTGAATTTCTGTAGTACTCTGATAGCATATTACAGCAACCAGAAAGTTCTGATTGCTGTTCTAGATTTATCTCAATTAAGTTTTTCAACACCAGAGGAACCTGGAGACTATCAAAAAAGAGAAGAAAATATAGGTAATCACCATGCAGAAGACAGCCAGCTCTATCAGGCACTGCGACAAATAAAGTGTAAACAATGATCTCATTGAAGACATAGCACTGTTTACCTATTGGGCATAATTTTCAGACTATTTGACAAACACAAGATTTTTCCTAATACTGAAACAGAACATTTGACATTGCACTTTTATTCCCTAATTTCCAACACTTTCAGTGGACGCCAGTAGATAGTTTGACAGTAACTACTGTTCAATGAAATATCAGGAAATCAGTTATCATAGTGCTGTAAAACACACTGCTAGCCTAGAAAGTCTTTTAGGTAGATATCAAGACCTTCTCACAACACCTAAAGGTCTTGGAAAGAGGGACAGTTTGTGACAAGCAAGTATTTGACTTTTAGTAATATCACCACATTGTCCTCCTTACAATGATGTATTTTGATAAGTACTGTAAAGCTCAAGATACCTACTGCAACACTTGCAGAGTTATTCCAGAAACCAGATTATCAGGTACGTTTTGGTTGAATGAGATATAGAGTAAAGACACAGAAGAAGCATGAAAGTAATTTCAGCTTAAACCTGCCAGCATCAGCTTGCCTAGTAACCCTAATGAGGATTCATAAATTATGATTGCTTCAAAAGTATTACACATAACAATAAAAAGCTCCCTGATATACATAAAACATATTTAACTATAAATGTCAGACAGTGTTAACAGAAGCTTCTTGTTTCCTATATTAGACAATTTATTGCACTCACCTCAACTGACGTAATTGTTTCATCATGGAAATGACATGACCTTGGGTAAACATCAAGAAGATGAGGAGGATCATCAATATGTGTTCTTCTAAAATTGTGTTTGAGAACTTCTTCATAATCCAAAGTATCAAAGTTGGTTTTCCATAGTAACACCTATAAGAAATCTTCATATCAGCAACTACTTGAAGGTTATTCAGTGCTCAAAACCTAACTATTCAATAAAGTCTGCTATTACTAGTAGATAACTGCATCATAACAATACTGCAGTGATGTCTTAGTCCAATCTCTACTGCAACACAGGCACTTCCCCAGAGTATCTTTACTTCAAATCTAGAAGATGTGGTTCAATCTATTAAAAAAGTATCTCCTAAAACACATTTATAATCACAAACTGTCCCACTGAGCTGTCCCAAGTTATTTTTCTGCCAGATTAAGGGATCATATACTGTTGAATTTCTGCCCCCTATAAAGGCTTGCAGGTCTAACAAGAAAGTTTGAAGGAGTAAGAGAAATGAGAGAGTTCCACAGAACTCTTAAAACACCTGGTTTCCAGTGTTTTGGCAACTGGAATCTCTTCTGAACTTTGTCTCATTATGTTCTAGGTAGAAACCATATCTGAAGTCACATATATGACCAAATGCAGAAGGTCATGGGACACAGAGGTAGTCCAAAGGTATTCTATCCAGTCTTATGAATATTCCATGTAGGCTACTACTTTTCAAACCAATAGGTATAACTTTGCTCTTTCACATAAAAGGTCTTATGTTTTCCATGGCAACAGGTTAATGAAATAAATTGCAATGTGCACATACTGCCAAAAATGTGAGGAACATGACAGAACACTACACTTTGAGATCTTTGTTTGAGGAAAGAAGCAAATAGAAAGAAACAAAAGTATCCAGTGTTTGTTTCAAATATTTAACCTGCATCTGAACTGTCAGCTGGTTCTGCACCAACCAGAAACTTGATACAAGAAGCAGAGATACTGGTTTTCCTTCTTTGATGGAAAGGTATGGAAGGATCTGTTGACTGAAAACATCTTGAAATAATATATGTATGAAGGAAGCAGTCTTGCATAAACTAAAGAGTGTATCAGCTGCCTCCAGTGCATGCTGTGAACAGACCATATATTTTGGGTACTGCATGAGGGGTAGAAGATGATACTTCTGTGGCCAACCTCTGCTCATAAGCATGACATTGCCAGCAGAACTTTCCCAACAAATACACCCTACAATTACAGTAAACCAATAATCACAGTGAATTGAGAACTCCTCCTGGCACACCTGGAAGAAGGCTGTGGACAGGTCAGCAAAGTGGAATGTTTAAGAAGTATGTGTGTATAACCAAAAGAAAATGGACACAGAATAAAGTTCTCATGTTTACTATAGATAAAGATATACACCTTGGTAGTTACCCAACAGTGGTTAGCACATTTTAAAACTTCGAAAAGTGAAAGCTGCAAAGTACTCCTCTCCCACCAAAACTTTCATAAAACAAAGGGAAAAACTTCAACAAACCAGGAAGGCTCATTTTAAGGTAATTGGAAGTTACTAGATCTGCTATGACTACTTTTTAATTCAACATTTCATCAGTGTTTCCTGATGAAACTGGATCTTCCCTCTCATGTATTCACCATGAACCCACTATATCAAACTGCTGAGGACTAGAAGACATGGATTTTTACCTACTTTTTCCATGCTCTCATGCCCCAGCTTTACAACAGAAAATCAGGGCAGGAAAAAGGCAATGACATGACTGCACTGAACACACATGCCATTCAGGGGGGCCCAAGTTCAAAGAACTTTAAAGTAAGACAGGCATTACCAGGGTGTGGGAGGCTGTGTTAGGCTTAATACTCTAAGTCTTTGCCTTCATCAGAGCATCTCAGATTAATCTTCTGTCATGTGAACACACGCACTTTTGCTCCTCTCAAGTATAATGTACTAACAGTCATAAAACTCAGAATACGTAAGGTAAGGTCAACAATTCAGAATTACATAGGACTAAGCTGCATTTTGGTACTTAAAACCTTATTTAGAAATTCAGTATGGAAAATCAAAGATCATACTAGTGAGTCAAGAAATAAATATCTTTCCTCCATTCTCAGTTGGTTTTTGTGGGTTTTTTTTCCCTGCTTGTAAAATTAATATTGGATGTTTGATAACATTTTCACTTTTCCAATAACTTCAAGTCTTGGCAGTACATTTTACTTAATACTTTCTGATAGAAAGCAATTTTTTTTCATCTCCCAAGACCATCTCTGCTACTAGCTGAAATTTATTTCAAACTCCATAAAAGAGAATATAGCCATGAATTATGGTAAACTCAAAAAATCTTAATTTCAACAGCATAGTTTTTTATATCTACATTGAGCTTTTAGCTTTTTGTAACAGGAAAACATGAAAAAGACAACTAAGGAACATTTCAGACTGAAAATTTAAATATTGCGCTACAAAATTTCTTTCTTTTTGGAAACTTTATAGATCTGATAGAGGTGATTCCAAGGTTGATAGTATGTGTTCTTTATTATGAAATTTATTACAGAAGATAGAAATTAATTATAAGGCTTACTGTTTAACTTTTTTTTTAATGCTCAAATGACTCTTCTTCCCTTTATAAAATCCAGCACTTTACTGCTTCACCAAAGTAAATTAGTAAAGGTAACACAAGAGGGTTTTTTCCCCAATTCTAGCCAAAGTTTTCCCAGTAATACAACTTAATACCTACAATTACGGAGTAAGGACTTGAAAATCAGTGAAACCTAACAAAGCAGGTACCACTTAATAGTAATTGCAATATAACTACTTCATTGACACTGAATTGCAACACTTTAAATATTCTTAGTCAAAAACCACTAAATATCTTTAGTCATATTATTAAAATATGTAAAATAGACGTGGTTAGTCTTCTCCTTATCATAACATCCAAAGGAAAGTCTATATAACACACAAGTAGCCAGAATGCATGTGAGTAATTAGCAAGTTACTGTGACATACTATATTTAACTCCCATCCACTGAAACAAACTAAGACACATTTCATTTAAGGAGACAATACCACAAACCTGAGCATCCACTCCACCTGAGGCAAAACTTTCACCACCTTTTGAAAAAGACACACAAAGTACAGGTCCCTGGAAAAAAAAAAAATAGCATACACTAGAATTAGGCTATTACTGTAATCATGTTATTTTAGTGCAGAGTAAAACACCAATGCCATTACCTAATGTAATAGATTTTTCAATTTTAATAAAATAAGGAACAATTTTACTGTAGTGAAATTTCTGCAAAACTTGATTGAAAAGTTAATATTGCACATTTTCATAAGATGCTACATTACAACTACAACAATCTATACTAGGAAAATAGCGGCAGTGTCCTTAGATTTTTTACTTCATCTTTGCAATGAAAAATTACAAAATATATATTACATTACTCAAGGCAATATGTTTGAATGATTTATTATCAAAAATAGGATTTGTTTGGCATTAACAGGAAAAGGAGGAAATGCCTGCCATTCTTCACCAAAGTTATCCTCTGTAAGCTTCCCCCTCCTTAGAAAACACTGTTTTTCAATAAACAATAGCACTGAAGTGCCAAATAACATGATTTTGAAAATTAAGTGAATTATTAATGAATTTAGAACATGAGCTTTTACTTAACATCAAGTGTTTCATACTGACAGATAAAAAGCATGCTAACAGGTAAAAACTGATGCATTTCCTTAACCACTTATGACAAGGTGTGTTAACACAACACCTTGCTGTTCACTAAATTTCATCTGCAAGTTGCAAGATAAAAGACACAACGGCATAAATGTTACTTCCCTCTGTAAAGATACTGAACAGCCTATTAAGATCTCCATTTAAAGAGGGTTATTGTGTATACCTTGTGTCCATGAAGAGTGTAAATAAGTCTTTCTCCTAAGAGGTCCAGAATCTTAAGGGTACCGTCAGAAGAAGCAGTGATGAGGTAGTTACCAGCAGGATGGAATGATATACAATTAACCCCTGCTCTGTGAACTGATTTACAGAAGACAATATTCAAAAGCTGTAGATATCTACTATGAAGATATGTACACTTTATTTCTTTGCTCTTTTCTACTTCCCAAAGAACTACTTCATTTAAGGAAAAAACAACAAAAGTGCTGAGGCATAGAAGACTTGTCAGAGTATTTGCTTAGTTCAGGTCTAAAAATTAAGGGAAGCAAAGAAATAAAAAGTATTCAGACTAGATTCTTGGTGTTGCTAGACTACAAAAAGATACTTACAACATGTCAATATGACTTGTTTGCCAACTTTCCCCAATAATACTCTTAATAAATCACATTTAATTGCAAAGAGTCCCATTGTAAAGAAAATAAACCAAACTACATTGTTTTTACCTTTGAAATGCTGCAGTAGCTTGTTCGTTCGAATATCCCATAGTTTCACTGTGTTATTGGAACCTGCAGAAGCTATACATGTTCCACTTGGGTTGAAATCCACAAAAGTTGGAAATCTAAATATAATTAATGAAAACAGATTTATAATGTGCTCCCACAGGTATAATATATAGGTGCATGTATATATAAAGCCCACAACATTAACACTAAGCTGCCACAAACTTGTGTGGAATCTACATGTACGGAAACTCAAATAAGGCATTTCAAGGAACTGAAATAAGCATAAGAAAACAAGATGTACATGACAAATCATCTCACTTTTGTTGAAAACACAGTATAATTGATCCAAGTCAAACTTTCAGAGTTTGTGCTAGAATACAAAGTTCCTGGAAGATAGTGCTGCAAATAGTTCATAACAAATAAAAGAATTTTTTCTAAGAACTGACAACACTTTGGACTTGAAAAAGGATGAAGGCAGCCATGAAATCAGCAAAGCATATACAGAAGATAAATACTCCACTGAGTTGTTAACTAAAACTCTGGATCCAAGATGTTTAAGACAACTGCATATAAGTAAAAGCAAGTATTTTTTAAACTTAAATTAGTCAGATCACTGAAAGTGTTACTGAAAGTAACAAAATACTGTTTTCATCAACAGGTGGAAAAGTCTTAAAGCTTTCTTCTTGTTGAAGCATCCAATATCAAATAGCATTACCAAAATTGAGGGAAAACATGGAAACATTCCAAAATCTAAGAATAATCTTACTTCTGTTTAGATTATCTCTTGATTGCTGGAAAACAGCTGTATAAGTGCAGCCAGTTAACCTCTTTAGAAAAACATGATATGAATTATTTTAGTTGACATGGGTTGTAGAAGTCTGATCTGTTTTCAGATTTAACATATATAGATGTTAATAGCACAGAACAATAAATTAATGCCAGTAAAATTACACTATTACATTTCTCCTTTTTTTCTAGTAAAACTTACCCTTCATAATCTGAGAAGGTATTAATGCAAATTTTATTTCTTGTATCCCAGAGTTTAATAGATTTGTCCTCACCACAAGATGCTATTATTCTTCCATCAGGCGAAAATCTGGAACACACAAGTCTATACATTACTTAAGAACTGATTCTGCCTATATTAGCATTAGAGACATAAGCAACAAAACACCAGAACCAAGGAAGCCTGTTTGAAATAAGGATGCATAGCACTTAAAGGACATTTGAACTTCTGGTATTTCTTATGGACTAATAAAACTGAAAAGCTTCTTCCCTGTTCCACTCTGGCCCATTTCATAAGGAACTACAATTACAAACAGAGCCATAAGCAAGAGGAAGAGAGGGGGTTGAGGGGAAGGTATCAGCAACCTAAGGATGTCACTACAGATGACTAAGAGATTAGCAAAGAAAACTAAAGGTAAAAAGACACAGAGGACACAGTCGAATCTTGTGTTCAATGTTAACCTATATTTATGTTCTCTGAGTTCTTTCAAAACTTACAAATAGCAGGCAAAGAATTCACAATTATTCCTAGACTAGCAGACCAGGTTTTTAAAGAGGAAAACTGACTTGTCTAGAACTTCCTCAAGCATTATTATTTCACTTGCTGAGCAACTGCACAATGACACTGAAAAACTGTTCAAGAACTTTCAAATGTGATTTCTTACAACTTTTCTTTTTCTTATATCAGTCCTCTTAGCTGCAGATTTTCCATTAATATGGAGGAAAGGAATAACTTTTTAAAAAGATAGCAAACAATATTTTCTTGCCTTTGAGAAGTTGTCCTGTCTTTAAAGAGTATGAATCCTAACTTGCAGTCCAAAGGCCATTTCTTTTACCTTTTCCAATTATGTAAGCTTAACTCATCTGGGTTCATGACCATTCTTTAATACTACTATGATTCCAAGAATACTTAAGAAAACTCCTACAACGCATAGATAAATCTAGACATGAATGCTGGGAAATAAGTTAATACAACAAAAAACCAAAGAAAACTGGAGAATGACAGCACACTGACTAAAAATAAATACAGAAGACCCCATTTGTCCTTTAATGTAGTAGAATGAAGACAGTAACTGATTTAGTATGTTCACATATTAACATGGAGCAAGCTTTCATACTTCAGCTAGGTCCACACAAAACTTGTGCACATAAGATTCATTTATTAAAATTTAATTACTGGTGAGAGACCATTGCTTGTCATTCACAGATGTTTCTTCTCTTATTTCTACCCTGGGATACAAAATCCCCTTTGGTAGGAATTCTACTTTACGAAGAGAATAAAAACAACACTTACTTGGCACAGCAAACCCAACCAGTGTGTTGGAATAGCGTAAACAAAAGGCGCTGAGAGCAAACACTCCATATTTTTATTAATTTATCATTGGATGCTGAAACTACAGAGCAGCCATCATGGGAGAAGCTCACACTCCGAACAGGTGCTGTATGACCTTTCAGTACTGATGATTCTCCATAACTAAGGGGGGAGAAAAGAAAAGGAAACAAAACCCCAAATACCAAGTCACAAATCACAGTTATATTAAAGAGCTTAAATCCCCATAAAACTCAATGTTGGCATTTTTATAATCTTACTCAAATGAAAAAGCAGCATACAGAGGCCAAATCTTAACAGCACCATTATATGTTACTTATTTAAATATTATTAGAATAACATTCCTTAAGTTGCGTTTAACATGACCAATTTTACAGAACAGTGAAATTAAGTAGCATCCTTGGCCTTTAGTCTCATTAGCATTAGTATTGGAAAGAGAATTTTTTATATAGTAATCTATAAAACGCTTGAAAGTTCAAGTAACATCAGTCTAAGATCATACTGAATTACTCATAATTACTACTACTCAAGAACAGTCTGAAAAAGCAAGTAAATTATTTTTTTCCAAAAAACTATTGTTATCTTCAACACTTGTCTCCCCAAAATGAAGTGCAGCCATGCAATCCTTGTTAAAATATCATCTTTAAGCCAGAGAAATATTACAAAGCATAGTTCTACACACATGAAATTGTGACCTCTCAGTTGTTATATTTTTCTTTTGAAACTACAGAATATTCAGAAAAGAACAAAGTAATACAGTAAAGAACTGTGTTGGTTGTGGTCCCCAGTCTCTGTTTCTGTCAAAGCCCAGGCACGTGGGAAGGAAAAGGAAACTTCTTTGAGTAAAGCCTCGCATATTCACACTGCTCAATAATGAAACACATATCCAGCATTGCTCAGTTATACTCACATGCAAGGAATCCATAGCCTGACCGTGTGATCCTGAGAAGCTGAAGCCAGCACCCGCCCATCTGGAGAGAACTCTACACTTGTCACCGCTTCCGCATGTCCTGAAAATCTGTAGGCGCTGCACGGTGTCCTCAGCTTCCACAGTATGAGCAGGCTGTCCACAGAGCAGGTAACTGCAAGAAGTGAAAGGCATTAGGGGCCTGCTCACTGTTCTTATGAAAGTCACAGCTAACGACTATGGATTTGGATTCGCCAGAGAGCTTAATGGGTATTGCAGGAGCGAGGAGTTACTAGGCTTTAAGGGATACTTAGCCTAAGCAGAAGCCTGGTAGCAAGTAATGGCAACACCAGGCTTTCACAAGACTGGGAGAAGTAAAGGATAATTCTTAACAGGTAGCTCTCTCACATGCTAAGCCAACTGGTTTACAAATACTTTGATGACACAGAGCAAAACATTCAAGGCCAAACATCATGCACGTGAGTATGAACCCAGATTTGGTTTTACCAAATCCTAAGAACAATAGGCAAATTCTTCAGTAATCTCATTTTCATCTCTGAGATAGAATTTGTTTCAAGTATCAAGTGTTCAACTCCAAAAAAAAGATGCCAACTTAAACTGAAGACATGACTTCTAACACTTGAGTGACGATATTGACGTATGATAATTCTATAATCCTATTTAAGTACCAATTTTATAGTACTAACATTTGTCTAGTTCAAAAGAAAACAAAGTTGTCAGTTGAACTACACTATCTACAATCAAAAAGGCAAACCTAACTTTCACCAGAGGTTGATCATTTTCAGGAAACTATAAGAAACAAAGATAATAAGCAGTTGAATTAAACTGGTACATGTGATTTTCTTACATCCCCACCATCTTCATCTCTGCTAAATGTCAGTATATAGACATAAATAAAAACACACTCCCATCCCTCAGTTGTTAAATTCTCCAGTAGAGAAAAGAAGGGAGAGGAAGAACAGGGGCCTCCTGAAGCTGGAAGAGTATATGAAGATGGCTTTTCTCTTCCCAGTTTCTTTCAAGCACCAACATAGCACAAAGAAATTGAGTTTCCTTATTAACACATGTCAAGGCAAACCTCAAACATAATATTAGCATATTAGACTATTAAATATTAACTAATAAATTCCCTTTATAAATTTGCTACAAAGATGCTGGTTTTATTCCTTAAAGACTGGTTTCTGCTAAAAGATGTGTGACCAGACTATCCCTATGCCCATATCAACAGGCCTATATTTGAGAAAGAAATACAAGTTATTTTTTCCCCCACTTCAACTTTTCAAAACCCTGTTTTACAGCAGGGTTTTTCTAATTGTACTTGAAAGAATTCCTTTTTCCCTTTGATTCTGAAAAGTGATCTACAGTGGAGTAAAGCTAAAAGGAAAAAGTGAAACATAAGCTAAAATAGAATTTGAAGGCATAGGGCTGGAAATGTGAAACAGACAAGACTGATGGCTTCTAAAACAAATCACTGATGAACTACCAAATACCTGTGGCATCTTATGAACTGCATGAAGGCTGTGCAGTATCAGCTTTCAGTTCTAAAAACTGAGGGAAATATTCTTAGAAAGATGACAGCACCATTCATTCAGAGCCTGGCTTCTTGTAGCTTGCTGTCTCATAGATGGGCTGTCCCAAGGTAAATGAGGCACAAGCAGCGATCTGAAGTTCTCCTTCCTGTGGGACATCCGTGACCATCATCCTTATTTTCCCTCTGGACTCCCTGCCACCTATGCAATGCTTAAATATTGGATCAGAAACAAAAAAAAAGGACAGAAAGTCCAGAAGAAATTTTTCAGGATGCACCACAGCACAAATAGGCCTGGTGTTCCTCAGAGAATACACGACATAACCAGAACCATGTTTAGAGGTGAAAGACAATTTGTCCTTGCTATGATCAACTGCAAAATACAACTACAATTTAGAAAATTGGAAATCCACAATGATCTGACTCCAATATACAACTTACTCCAGTTTACAACCTGAGTGCCTTTTCCTCTTTAAACACCAATGCTTCTGTACACACCTACATATAGCAGACACATCACTGGATAATTTGCTTTTCTGCTGATGAGTCACTACAGAATTGAACACCAAAAATAAAGACTTGGCCTTATGCAAAGGCCAAGTTGAGAGATCTACAGCAAAATGGTGTGTAAGCAGATACCTAAGCTTACATATGCCATAAAAAAGATTTTTTGGTATTTGCAATGAAACAAAGTTCAATTTATGAACTGTGACTATTGATGGCATACATTCTTATATACACACACAAATATATGAACACAAGTTGCTGTAATACAGAATTACCATTTCACTCTCGCTTTCCACAAAATAACAAAGTAGTGACTAAGAAAGTTGTGCAAAGATCAAAAGAGACAAACTCAGACAGGCTTTAACAGCTCGATGTACATCTCTCCAAATACTGAAGCATCTCCAATATCATTAATCACTCAGTGCAAGAATTACAGGGCAGATGGAATACAGTGCAAATGATGGGTGTGTGAATATTCAAACCCTAGCACTGCCAACAAACCCCCACACTTTACAGGAACCCTGCAGCTCTCAAAAATACAGTACAACCTCACAATGCAAACACATTTTGCAATGAATTGCAAGATTTCCTACTTGGAGAAAAAATATTATTAATTTAACCTCTGTCAAAAAAGCCAATCTGGAATTCTAAGCACACTGGATAAAATATGAAGAACTTTTAATAACTCCCATAAATTCAAGTTATTGGCAGTTTTTGTTGCATTCTGTATGCATGTACAAAAGAGGAAAAGAACTGAGGAATCAGCACACTAGTCAACATTTAATTTTCTGGATTTTATTTTTTCAAAAGAAATCCCAAAGCCCTCCACATTTATTCAGTGTAAAGTTTACATTCAATTTTTTTAAGTCACTTAGAATCAGTAGTTTAAAATATGTACAAGCATTCACCAATTTTTCAAAGTCTAACAGAATAGAAAACTATTCAGATTTTCAGATTTTCCAGAAATCTCTACATACTGAAAAATAATTCGATAGGAGTACTGAAATGGTAAGGTGTTGTTTGTTTTTTCCTTCTTTCTTTCTCTCTCATTGTAGTCCGTCCTCCTTTTATTCACGTTTTTTATTCCCACTGGGAAACTTTTTTTCTTCTTTTTTTAGCGACAGGTAATTTATTTTGGTGTTTTTTCGTTCTCCTCAGTTTGTTTCTAAATAACTCCAAAAATAGAAAGGGAGGTCATGGGAAGGAGGAAGGGTTCAGATACATAGGGAGAATAACTTTTCAAACTCAGAGGCAGATTCACTTATAATTATTGCTTAAATAGATAAGGAACACTTTGAATGTCAGATTTAACTTGAAGGTACTTCTTTACACAAAAAATAGTTTCTGCCAAGTGCTAAAAAATTAACTGTATAAAATTTGCATAGTCTGTATTCATATCATTTAATTGCTTTCATCTGAAGAAACATGCATTGCACACACTATTTATGATCTGCACATAAGAGAACCTAGGCATTTTCCCTGTCACTTCTATTGAATGTAACAGCCTACAGAAAAGCAGCCTACAGTTTTCACAAAAGCACATACTTTTTATAATTTATTGCCCCAGTATGTAACGACTGGCTGCTTTTTAAAATTTGATAAATGGTTCATAACTTGCAGGTACACAAAAGAATTCCTGCTGCAAAGTGGAATGCAATTTTTCAGGAATGCTTCCCTTATGTAGTAAAAAGTTCCCTTTCATTTTTTTTAACAAGCAAACAAAAAAATCACCACCAACAAAAACTCAATTTAGGGGAAAAAGGAAGATAAAAAATGGGAAAAAAAATCAAATTGCAAGTAACTGCCTAAAAATAAATTAAAGTCTTAAAAGAATCCACGCCACACGGTGGCAAGCATTTTTAGCATGACTCAGTGCTGCATTCCAATTTCCAAATTTTCTTCTGCTTATCTTCTACGGTAACCTGCTTCCACCCAAACCTCTCAAAGCTTTCAAGTCACTACAATTTAAGAATATGTTATAACTTACTCTTACTTTATTTTTGGCAAAACTTCAACTATATCAGGTCTCACTTGTCCCTTTTCAACCCTTCTACCTGCCAACACCTGTAGTAAGTGCACATCCACTACATTCCTCAAGTATCCAGATAACTAATGCTCACTAGCTTAAGTTTCCACCTACCAGCCCCAGGTAAAGACTTACTACACTATGGCTACTGAAGAACATTTATCACTTCAGTGAGAGTAATAAAAACAGCTGGAATGCCCAACACACTAAGAAAAGTGTCCAACTTAAATTTTAAGAAACTAAAATACAGATACTAATGCAAGATTTTTTTCAAGTACACAATATATCTATCATGACTACCATCTATAATCATTATCAAAACAGATTAGGGACACTAAGAGACACTATTCGAGAATCAGTATTCTTCAAAAACTCAGCATAACAGAAAAAACAAAACATTCTAAACAAGTAATTATTTGTATCACCAACAAATCTTAGTGTTCTCCTTTGTCTTCTCAACTCCCTTCATGTCAGAAGCTTCAGCTTCCCAGTCTTACCCAAGGTCCCCAGTGTTATTGTTTTGACCTGAAACAGGCAAATTATGCTGTATTATTTCAAAACTCTTCCTAGGGCTGACCCATGCCAACTGTTGCCAAAACAGAAAAAGCAAAATAAAACAGCCCAAATGTTCCTGTTACCTTTCTCTAGCCTGCTGACAGACCAAACGAAAAAAAAACCAACAACAACAAAAAACCCAAACATGGTCTAGATCACATAACTTTTGTGTCCCTAAGATGTGGAGCTGAACATGGAAAAGCTTACACAGAAGCAAGGTATACATTAAATATATAGGTGAGAAACAGCAGTAGCTAAGGCAATTTTGTGATTCCTTTCCTTCTCCATTGCCTTTAAACAAAATTCTTACTTGTAGCCATCCCTATTTCTTCCATTTCTGGTATCAGCATGTCCTTGGTTCCTCTGCTACCACGCTCTCCTCTAAATGCATGAGAGCTCCTGACTAAGCCCCATGGGGTAAGACTTTTACAATAGGTACAAGACTGCAAAGCAGTGCCAAAGCCCTTCTAGTAAATAAACTTCCTATTCTTCCATAGAATATAGTACCCTTAACAGCATGTACATTCCCAGAAAAATGCAGACCATTACAAGGCTTGGATTGAACTTTCCACATCAATGTCCATTCAATCACATGCTACTGTAGCATTACTTAGGGTGTTAGATACATGTTTCATAATGTATCTGTAACACAGTCAGCAAGTACCACTGCAAGAACCTTAACTTTTACTTCTGTAAGTAAAAATTTTTTGTTTACATGGAACATGATCTCACAGGATTATTGCATAATTTTAAGATTAAAAAAATTCTGCTTCAGTCCCCTCAGGAGCCTCTGTTTTATAATCGAGACTGAGGAAAGTAATAATGGACCAAAATTTTACAAAAATAAAAGGCATTAGATGTTCTAACCCTAGAAACCAAACCGCACTATTTACTTTTGCTTTCCATACAGTTCATCATAGTAGACAGTTTCTACACCACTACAGACAGATGTGAAAACATTTCAAGGTATTCAAACACTGCTCTCTGTTCACACGTATAAAAAGTTTAAAGATCACAGTCCATCCAATTCATACTACCAGTAGTGATTATTTCTCAAATTTCCAAATTTGATTTTTATCTCCAGCACTACAAGTTCTCATTTGCACATCAGCGTGCCCTTCAGTTGTGCGATAAGCAGTAAGGCACTTCCCCGAATGAGGATGATAAATAGTCCCATCTTCTTTGAAGTGCCAGATAATAATTTCTGGGACAGGAGATCCATCTTTTGGGCAGCTCCTCATACCTATGAAGTCTTCACGCTCAGGGACTTCAGCACATAGCTCAGTTACAGAGTTAAATCTAATCTCCTGATTTGATGTATATTCAAAAAATTGGTTGCCTCCCTGACCATGACAGCCAAAGAGAGACAGGTGAGAGCCGGTAGGATTATGCTCCTGTAAGACATAGTCAAGGCATTCTGAAGGTATTCCTGTGCTGCGGATAGCGCCGTGCCAGCCAGGACGATCTTCTGGTACATGCAACTCAGCAAATATGTTTTTTAAATACCAGTGAAAACTCTTGCATTTCAAACGCTCCCTAAGAATCTTTCTTTCAGAAATGTCTCCATAGTTTTCCTTCCTTGCTGAAGGATTTCTGTTGTAAAAGTGATCTTTGAACTCATCCATCCACACCTCAGCAGCACGTGCCGTGTTCTGAAGGAAATTTGGTCTAGCATAGGGTGCACGCTTTGGAAACACATGGCCCACGTGGGAGCATGGATGAATTTCCAACATGCCTCCACACTGCCAAACCCTAAATGATAATTCTAAGTTCTCCCCTCCCCAGACATCCATTCCTGTATCATAAGTTCCCAGGTACTCAAAATACTTCTTGCTGACAGCAAACAAGCCACCAGCCATAGTTGGGGATCTGATAGGGTCGGTTTCTGACTTGCGCCTGAGACGTTCGTGTTTAGGCACCGAGTGCCACTGGAATGTCAGCCGCCAGTCAAAGCCCCCAATCATGGGCTCTGCCGTTTGCATGTAGTACTCAAATGTTTTCCAGTCAATAGTGTCAATGACAGGACAAACAATAACAGTCTCATTCTCAGCAATCCTCTCGAGCAGTGGTTCCAGCCAGCCGGAAACACATTCACAGTGACAATCCAGGAACGTGAGAACATCACCTGTAGCAAAGGTAGCGCCAATCAAGCGTGCACGAACCAATCCTTCTCGTTTGTTGGTTCTTATCAAGCGAACTCTTTTCAGACTGCTTATGTATTTTTCAAGTTCAGCCTTCAAATACATTTTATCACTCAGGTCATCCACCAGTATAATTTCTTTCAGAAGCACTGAGGGCGAAGTTTCAAGAACACTATGTATCGTCCGTAGCAGTGTTGACCAGGCTTCATTGTAGAAAGCAATTATAACAGATGTTGTGGGCAGTCTTCTGTAGTTGTAAGATTTAGTTTTACAACCACTCAGTCGATTATCTTCAATGTGCCGGTGGAGAGAAATTTTATCACTTAAATAAATATTTATTGCATACTTCTCAATCAGCTCTTCTTCCTGTTTCTGCTCCTCAGGACTCAGCTGGGGGCGAAAGGGTTTACCCCATTCTCCTGGAGCATAAGGATCGGGTGGGGGTTTGTCATAAACTGGACGAGCCAAATCGACAGCTTTTTCTGCTCCGTCAGAAAAGCGCCTCTCCCATTTCCCTTTAGTGATGCTCTTGCCGGCGAGGGAGGCACCGAAGGAAGAAACGGACAGCTCAACCACAAAGTAAGCGATCATTAAGAAGCCAAGGAACACGCAGCTTTTGCGGATCCACGTCCATCTTCTCGCCAGACGAATCCTCATCTTAAATAGTTAAAAGCAGCTCCTTGGCAGAGAGGGGTCCGTGAACTCCTGCCGGCTTTCCCCACGCCCCCAGGGAGGATGGGGCTGCAGGCACTCCCAGCCTCGGGCTCGGGACGCCAGCAGAGTTTGCAGCCAGCCCTCCGTGGTGGGCCCGGTAGA